TGGTAAAACAGCTCTTCGGTCTCAACCTAAACAAGTCTATTATTATACACTGCGACAGTTTTGAAAATGCTTAGAGTGATACTACGGGGGCTTATGAAATGAAGTAATAGTCGGAGGTAGAGTTCTCAAACAGATGCAGTTTCCTTTTTTTTTTTCTGAGTTTGAAATGATTTTAGAATTTTTATTTGAAGTGATGTGCTTTTTCTTTGACCAGTCTAAACTTGGCAAGCAGATTTTCTGCCCAAAAGTAATCCTTATTTATTGCATTCCTTCAACGACAGGACTGTCATTTACAAAGCTGTAGTTCCTGGAAAAATGCTTATTTCCATAATACACCAGCGTCGTTGACGGCCATCGCGTCGTTATACTGTCTTTGAACCTTTGCAAGTTTAGGTATAGGCGAAGTGGTGGGAAAGAAGTAAGAAAAAAAGGTAGAAAGGTTTGTTATGGATAAAACAAAAGCGTGCTTTTTTTTCCGAACCTTACAACTTTATTCGCTAAAATCTTAAGTCGGTTTATTTTGAAACGATGAAATTACGAGGGAGTTGGCATTTTAGAGAGTTATCAATGAACTGATTTTTGTCGACAGATTGTTGCTATCAAGTAGATTTTTAGAGTGCTGTATTCATTTGTTATATACTTTTTTGCTCACTTAAAGGAGTACAAAGTTTGCATTGTATTGTGTACGTTAAAAACTGACAGACGGGGAAAAAGAGGCACATTTTATGAAATCACTTTTCTTAAGCATAAAGCATGAGCAAGAAAACTATTGACTGCATCATAGTCAAACAATATAAACATGTTACTGAACACTAATAAACACTTCTTATTCCATGGCTGACTCCGTATCTCTCCAATAAATTCAGCAAATTTTCGCTGTTTTTGGCTAATACTTTCTCTTCCTCTATCTTTTACTCTTTTTTCAGTTGTTCATTAAGGTTTTCTGTTTACAGAAAAATTTTTTTTAGTTATAAGTCTTTTGATACAGGATATTTTTGGATGCTGTCGACAGCAAAAATTAAATAAATAGATGTAAAAGAACAGCATACATTTTATACGACACTCACATGTCTATTTTATTTCTGTATTTCAAATCCATTGGTGTTCTTTTGTCAAAACTGTTGCTTTTTTTTTTCACTTTTTATTATTCAAAACGCTTATCAACTATGATTTTTGAGAGGATAATTAAATCTAAAAAAATCTTTATACAGTATTTTCATGCAGTGTTTTGAACTGTCGTATTTAGTTCCATATGAGCATGCGACATGCGAAATTTTATAAATTGAAAAGATGAATTTTCTGCCTAATCCAACGCACCATTTTTTTAACCGATTTTTTCAAACTTTAATGTTTTTGTTTTTCTTGTACAGCTGCTTAGAATTGTTAGTCGTACGACCTCGTTATTGCCTTTATGGGCTATGTTCAGAATATGCAGTTGGACAAACAATTTTTGAGCGGAATTATAACTTTTTTATATCAGGTTGTTTTTCAACTCTACAAAGCCATATTGCTTTGCAAAATTTTTCAACAAAAATTAAAATACTGAGCATGCCTCACAATGGTTTGAGGTAATGCTTAATGGCAATCACTTGAAGTAACTTTTCACACTGGCAAATTGAGAGTTAATAAAAGGGTTAGTGTGACTAGGTCATCGTCTATTTTGAGACATACTTATATAAATTAGAAATTAAGGAAGGTGGACAAAGAACGTTGCATAAACAATCCATACTGTAAAATAAAAATCGATTTTGTTTTACTACTCTAAAATGAGGAGAGCACGTTTTTGAACTGAACTGCAACCGCTTGACAGAAAGTGAGATCCTTACGGTAACTATCGCCCCAATTAGATGGCAGCAGCGCTTTTGACTCAAAAATATTTTTACTTTTCTCTTTTACTCTTTCTTTTGGAATTGTTTATGATGAAATTTTTTTGAGAAACAACAACGGCAACAACAAAACTCTATTCTCAAATC